CGCGATCGGGTGACGAGGGTTTAGGGTTTAGGGTTTGGGGCAAGGGTTTAGGGTTTAGGGTTTAGGGTTTAGGGTTTAGGGTTTGTGTTTGAGCAGCAACAAGAACTGTTGAAGAAAACAACAAATGAATTTAAAAAAGTCTCCGACGCTTTTAAAGAAAACAACAAAGAGGCGCAGCAAATCAAAAGACTGGCGCACCTCGTAAAACCCTAAACCCTAAACCCTAAACCCTAAGCCCTTGTTTGGAAGCTCCCGACGCCGAAGATAGCCTAGCCCCTCAAGCCCTAAACCCTAAACCCTGAACCCTTGTTGGAAGAGCGCGACGCCAAGTAGCGGCAGCCAGCCGGGCGCAGCCAAAACCCTAAACCCTAAACCCTAAACCCTAAACCCTAATTTGTCTGCAGGTCATGGAGTACTTGAACAATACTGAGCAGAGAGCCAAAGCCCCGCCTCCCCCCGAGCCCTCTCCAGTTGTTGAAGTGCCCCAAACCCTAAACCCTAAACCCTAAACCCTTATTTTTGCCTGCAGCCAAGCCCTAAACGGCAGTTGAAACAGCGCTGGGTGTCCGGCCTTCAGGCTCTAGGGTTTAGGGTTTAGGGTTTAGGGTTTAGGGTTTGTGTGGATCAGGAGCCTGAAGATTCGATCGCTGAACAGCCCAGCGAGCAAGCCCCGTCACTCCTGGTGAGCCCAAACCCTAAACCCTAAACCCTTAACTCCAAACCCTAAACCCTTAACTCCAAACCCTAAACCCTTATCCGCAAACCCTAAACCCTAAACCCTCAAAAATCTGTTTGTTTGTGTGTCTCAGGCGAGCGAGGAAGTCATCAGGGCAGAATTCGAAAAGGCAGCTGTATGAAAACCCTAAACCCTAAACCTTAAACCCTAAAGTTGCCAGCTAAAACCACAGACCCTAAACCCTAAACCCTCGTTTGCTCCTCTGCAGCTAGCAGAAGCCTACCAAGTTAAAATTTATGGATTTCTAAATTCTAAATATTATTTGTTTATTTATTGTTTTCTATATTTATTTATTTATGTTGTTTATTTATTTTTATTATATGTATATTTAATTTATTTATCTATTATTTATTTTATTTATTTATGTATTTATTTATTTATTTATTTAGGGCCCCAGTCAAACCCTCGACCGAGACTCAGCAGCAGTTCTAGCACGACGTCTGGTAAGCATGCTGCTGCTGCTGCTGCTGCTGCTGCTGCTGCTGTTGCTGCTGTCATTAGCTTCCGTCCCGCCTGCTGCTGCTGGCTGCTGCCGTTCCCCGCCCTTTGCTGCTGCTGCTGTGGCCCGAGCCACCCGCACCGCCCCCGCCGCCGCAGCAGCAGCAACAGCAGCAGCAGCAGCAGCAGCAGCAGCAGCAGCAGCGGGTGGTTTGCGTTTCAGGGGGCGTCTCCAACTGTGTCGGAGGTGTCGGCGCTGCCGGAGCGGGTGGACTTAAACACCTTTTTAGGGTTTTGCAGCTCGGGGGAGGCGGGAGACTCCGTCGAGGGTTTAGCTTCGGTGTTTTCTCTCTGGGACCCGCAGCAAAAAGGGTTTATTTCCAAAACCCTTTTAAAACACATTTTAATTCACTTCGGAGAAACCCTAACTGCAGCAGAAGCAGATCTCGCGCTGCAGCAGCTCGCAGGGCCCCAGGAACAAGTCGACTACGTCCAGTTCTGCCAAAAGTAAACCCTAAACCCTAAACCCTAAACCCTCGGGGGGCCATAAACCTGCCGCGGGGGCTGGCCAAGCTGCTGCTAAACCCTAAACCCTGAGTTGGCCCTAAACCCTAAACCCTAGGTCGCGGGAGTGGAAACTGACTCAAGAAACCCTAAACCCTAAACCCTAAACCCTCGGGCTTAAATACACACTGTCCGATGCTGCTTTGTTTGCAGGCTTCTGGAGCCAGCCAAAAGGCAGCAAGGCAATTAAGCAAGCTGCTGCTGCTGCGCTTGCTGCAGCTGCTGCTGCTGCAGCTACTGCAGCAGCTGCTGCTGCAGCTGCTGCTGCTGCAGTCCCCGCGGCTCCAACTGCTGCTGCTGCAGTTACTCCTGCTGCAGCTGGTACTGCAGCTGCTCCCGTTGCAGCTGGTGTTGCTGCTGCCCCTGCTTCTGCTGCATTTGCTGCTGCTGCTGCAGCTGCCTTTGGTGCTGCTGCTGCTGCCCCAGCTGTTACATTTGCTGCTGCAGCTGCTGTTGGTGGCCGTGCTGCTGTAGTTGGTATTTGTGCTGCTGCTGCTGCAGCAGGTGTTGCATTTGCTGCAGAAGCTGCTGTCGGTGCTACTGCTGGTGCTGCTGCTACAGCAGCAACTGGCAAAATTTTTTCGTTTTTTGAGGTGTATATACGCCCTAAACCCTCATTCCCAATCAAAACCCTCGGCGGAAACTAAAAAAACCCTAAAATCGGGTTTAGCCGTAAACACTGAAACAGAGTTTCATCCTAACTGGCCCGAAACCCTGGGGCTTAGTGTAGCTTCAAGGCCTAGATATCCCGGAACCGTAAAC